GGGTTTGGTTAGTCAAGAACCTGTCTTATTCAACGAGACGATCAGATCAAATATAGCTTACGGCAAAACCGGTGGAGCTACAGAGGAAGAGATTATCTCAGCCGCACAAGCCGCAAACGCGCATAACTTCATCAGTTCCTTGCCTCAAGGTTACGAAACGTCGGTTGGTGAACGCGGCGTTCAGCTTTCTGGTGGTCAGAAGCAGAGGATAGCCATCGCACGTGCGATCTTGAAAGATCCCAAGATTCTGTTGTTAGATGAAGCGACGAGTGCGTTGGACGCGGAGTCTGAGCGTGTGGTTCAAGACGCGCTTGATCGTGTCATGGTGAATAGAACGACTGTAGTTGTGGCTCATAGGCTGACGACGATTAAGAACGCAGACGTGATCGCGGTTGTGAAGAATGGTGTTATTGCGGAGAAAGGAAGGCATGAGACGCTGATGAAGATTTCAGGTGGTGCTTATGCTTCTCTTGTTACTTTGCACATGACTTCAAATTAAGAGTCTTTTTTTTTAACTTAAATTTTGGATATTATTCGTTATTTTTCCTTCTGTTTAATAACTCATAAGTTTGAGATAAACAGATATATACGTCGAGTTTTAGTCTCTTACTACATTTACCTCATGTTCGTTTGAAAGTTGATGGGATCTGCGACTGTGAAATGTATCTGTAATCGCAAATTGTAATTTATTGTTTGTTTCTTTATCGCACGACTGGTCAGTAATTAAACGAACAGACTACTAATTGCATTGAGAAATTTAACGATTGAATTTATCTACGACTTGCGATTAATTGTCTGATGCTGCAACATGCAATATTCAGTAGCAGGTAACTAGTAGACTAATTAGTGTACTCCAAATGTAGAAACTTATATATTGGGTAAAATTTGGAAATATGTTATACTTATGGGCTAAACTGCAATAAGAACAATCTTCAATAAGCACCACACAGAGGTAAATGATACGTTTGATCAAAGAGTAGCGACTTCTTGCGGAAATGAACACAGAACAGTATATTTTGAGACAAATGAGATAAAAAAAAAATGAAAGAGAATCAGTAAACTTCAGCAGCAAAGTTGCTAGTGGGCAGTCTCTGTCGCTTTTCAATGTAAGCCATAGGGAACCAACCAGCTTTGCCTTTGCATTCTCCTTCAGCCCAACCGCTTTCACTCACCTGAGAATAATCAAAGACAACACAACGACTTGAGTTCCATGCTCTAATTACCACATAGAGTATAGTTTCTTGATCTTAGTAGTAACCGTATGAACCTTTCGGACAACGACGTAGTCTCCTTTGTACAAGTCTAGTTCTTTCTCTGAAGCAGCGGAAAACGGATGAACTACCTGTCAAGAAAACAGATATGTTGTTTCTCTGACATATGCGATGGTGTTTTTTCATATTTTGCAAAAAACGAAACTTACTTCAGCTAGAAAGTATGATGTTTTCTCTGAGCTGTTCTCTGTTGGAATCGCAGGAGGAGCAGATTCTTTATGTTGTTTCTCCGTTACCATCTAAGAGACCCAAAACAATGTGAGGTTTTTTCGAGATTAAGATATGTAAGAGATTCATCCATGACTAACCTCTGCTTCAATGTCACTGAGGACCGCTGCTATTCTTAGATGATAATTCTTTTCCCCTTCGACCTTAAGCACAACACGCGCGACATGGTTAAAACAGTAATCAGCATGAACATAAAACCACAAGTGTATGTGTGTAAAAACATACCATAGCTACAAGCCTCTGGAAAGTAAGTCTATGTTGCTGTGATTCAACAGCAGCCAATGCAGCAGTTGCTTCTTTACCGAGTACCGCCATGTTTGCTTTAAGCTCTTGCATCTTCGCTTCCGCTAGTTGAAGCTTTGCCACGTTTTCTGGAATAGGAGCTTCTCTTACACGCACTTGCCTTCTAGATACTTCCGCTGCCTGTTTTGTTTTTTATTAATTTACTTTACAATATTAGCCAAAGATCATCACAGAACTGAGAATTTTTAAGAAGGATTACATGAGTCTCTGCTTCTTGTCTCATGCGGCTGTAACGTTGAGCTAAATGACGAGCATCTTCAAGAGGAGAACCGGCTACCATAGCTCTAACCGGATCCAAAACCTTAACGCAAGAAAAGGTTTTAGTTCTAATGTAAGTTTTTGGATTAAAATAGATAATTAGAAGGCAAACCTGAGAAGACAAAAGCTTGTTAAAGTCTTCTTGTTCTTTCTCAACATGTTTCCGAGCATCACCGTATATAGCTGCAGCCTTGGCTAGAATATTCTCATCGATGTTCTGACTGTTTTCAGTTCCATATTTACAACAGTCTTCAGCCAACTTGGTTCCTGATATTGTTACAGATCATGTAATAAGAAAAAAAAAGAAATGTGTCACAATCAAAGTAACAAACATTACTAAGTGTAAGTACCTGCTTCAATGTGTCTGAGGCCAATGGAAGTAAATGCCTCAGCTGCTTTAATAAGCTCTCTCTGGAACTCCTGTAACCGACAATATTCTTGAAGATCAACAATCAACTCATACACAAAGCAAAAACAAGAAGTCTAACTTTTGAAGTCAATTTGAGTCTGTAACCTTAGCGGAACGAGTAGAGCGGTAAAGCTTCTCGAGCTGATGATGTCTTTGCATTTCAAGCTCATCAATCACCATTACATCTGAGCTTTCATAGCCAGTCCCACTGAATTGCTTTATCACAGCCTATGTTCTCCCCATTACAACACAGAAGTAAGTCATCACCAAGATTGTGTAAGCAAAACAACTTTCTATAATAATACCAAATCAAACGAAATTGGTATACAGGATCAAAACAGCTAGGCAGATTTTTATCCAAATTAGGAGATTGCAGCATCATTAAACTCGAGATTCGATGTTATTACCAGTTGTTGCTTAGCGACTTGATCCCTGAGCTTACTCGCTTGTCTTCTAAACGCATCCATTGGGACTCACTTCTCCTGAGAATATACAAAACAATAGGGGAGAGTAGGAAGTCTCACTTCGATCGGACCAATTTAGAAACTGACAAAACAGATCAGATCTGACTCCAGAGATGGTAGAAATGTTTGTTCTTCGACTCGATGTCACTGATCTCTAATCCACGGAGAAATCACAGAGCCTGGTCGGTTCGGTTCGGGTCGGGTCGAATAAAAAGTTGGCGAGATTGGTTATACTGGGTTTAACATCCAACCTTAACCGAGTGGCCCGGTTTAGTTCGGTTAAATGATCGTTCATCAATCACGATTAGCATTTGATTTAATTATCCGTTCGCATAATTATAGGTACTAACGAAATATCTGACATGGCCAACTCACAACCACTTGTCTATTGTCCCCACTCTCCTAATAATAATATATCATAGTAATAATCTGAAAAGAACATACTTGCGTTTCTTTATTTTCTAATTAACGTTAGGTTTTTTTTTTCTTATATGTACCGACATTACCAACTACAACTTCAGTGAGATCATGTTCTTGAAATAAATTATTTTTGGCTCCACCAGACTGTTGTCGTTTGGCTCTATTTTTTTCAAAAAATAATAATCATGCAACAGAACTACTGTTGCCTTCAGTAATGCAACTGCCTCAATTTCTGTGATGTGATCCCAATGAAAACTATATCCTTAAATTACAATATAGAGTCTGATTGGTAATTTTGAAAGTAAATTAGAGTAAATGAAAATGTGAAAAACAGAAGAAATTGAAAAAGGTGAAATAGTGGAAAAAAAAAAGAAAAGTGGAGTAAGAGCATGTGCAATGGTGAGACTCACTAGAGTCCTTAGCGAAATGGCATTTAAGATTAATCTTGGATATTTCAGATTTTTTAAAAAAAAAAAAAAAAAAGATGACCATTCACGGGCCGCCACGTGGTCAATGGGGCCCGTGAACAGTGTAAGGATTAATCCTTACCAAAGGATTTTAAACATTCTTTTTGACACAAATTCTAAGAAAATGGACTCCACATTCCCTAAGGACTCCCTTAAGAGTCACCATTGGACATGCTCTAAAATTAGTTACGCCAACAAAAACTAGAGTAAATGATAGAGTGTTTTTTCCTTCATTTGTACAGTAATTAGAGTAACTAGTAAATTATAATATTCCACCTGATTGACAAAATTCCAGCTGAACTTGGAGTAATTTTAAATATGGAGTAAAATATTAGGCTAAAACTACCATTCAATCACAGCTTATTATTAGTACTATTGTTGCTAGAAGAAGATTGACGACTTTTGGTGTCTATATTGACACAACATTTAAGATATTCATTATTAAGTTGATTCGACCACATTTTTTTTGATTCATCAACATTGTTGTAAATATATTTTCTTACAAAATAATGTAGTACTTCCTCAATTTCAGTCTAAATAATTTTTTTAGTGATTTTTGTTGTTTCACGATAATATTTTCATATATCTAAATAATTTTAACTCTATCAAAACCTGCATAGTTAATAATATTTTTACTATTTTTAATAATTAAATAAATAAATTTTAAAATATTATTTTAAATAATTTTTTCGAAAAAGTAAAATTTTTGAATGTGTCTAAAAATAGTCAAAACTTCTTGTATTATGGAAACTTTTTAACCCAATTTAGATGAGACAAAATTGCAATTCAGATTTGTTTTGTTTTTTGTTTTCCTAATTGTTTTAGCTTTATTTATTGGTTTTTAAATAGTAAAGCTAAAGAACTGTTTTGGTTTTTCTCTCAGAAAACTAAGAACAAAATATTTACAAAAGTATTTCCCTAAGTTAAAAAAAAAACAGTTGTCAAAAAAAAAGTTAAAGAAAAACATTTACAAAAAAATCTACATCCATTATGTTTTCTGAGCTACATCAATTGAAAGGACGAAATTAGAGAAAAAAAAACGGAACAGACACGGGTAACTAATGAAACAAACGCGGAAACAAATACAAAAAGATTAATGAATGTGATTTGGCAGTAAATGTCAATCACACACTTTCAACATGTATAAATAAAACCACACAGAACTTTCCCACTTCTACCATTTTGAGTTTTGAAACTTTACGGCTCACCCAAACAAAAAAGCTTATTACAGTATCTTCTTTTAAAATTTACCGAGAGAGAAAAGGAAGAGACAAGCCAGGATCCGCCATAGCTGTACAGATCCCCACACTCATAAAGAAGCCTAATCATGCCTCCAGGTGCTAAGAAAAGGAAAGCTGCTAAGAAAAAGCAGCAACAACAAGAAGCATCTTCTCCTCAAACCAATCTCATACCCACCAACCATGGTGAAGTTATCCCACTACCTACCAATGTCTTTTGCTTTTTTTTTTTTTTTTTTTAATTGTCTATCTGTTTGTCTATCTG